GTAGCTTCCACACAGCGTTACGCAAACGATGAAAATATATTGCCGCTCGACTGATTCGGAGTGAGAACTCTGCTGTTAAACTGGAGCCGGTCATAAGCACACTGCCCAGGTATGGGAAATTCTCCACTCTCTCCACAACTGCCCCATCACCGATTGGGAGTTGTGGGGGTGGAGTGTCCGATGGTTCAAAATACCCAGGCAGGTGCTTAGTTTTGGTTGGGCTGATGGTAAGGCCTCATTTCTTAGTGGCACGCTCCAGTCTCAGCAGCAGCGTCTCCAATTCCTCCTCTGAATGAGCAGCCATTACCAAATCATCGGCAAACGTGACCGCACCCGGGCATCGATCAGCCTCCCATTGTATCTGTACCAAATGGAGATTCCCCCGGTACAGCTATTGAAGGCTTCACGAACTACGTGGTCAAAATAGTTGTTAAATAATGTGGGAGCCAGAGGACATCCCTGTCGCACCCCAAGGTGTACAGGGAATGGCTCTGACTCCCAGCCACATAGTTTTACCCGGGCCCGCTCACCATCATGAAGGTCCTTAATGATCGTGAGCAGAGGGACTCCGAAAGCACGAAGAACAACCCAGAGCCCAGGCCTACTGATGGTATCATAGGCCTTGACCAGGTCAATAAAGCAGAGATGTAGGTCTTGCTGGAATTCCCTACACCTCTGCTGTAGCAGACAGACAGAAAATATGGCATCTGTGCAGGATCGCCCTTTCCTGAAACCGCATTGGGGCTCCGCAAGCCTTTCCTCAGCGTGCCTGGCAAGGCGATGTTGAATAATCCTTGCCAGGACCTTTCCCGGCATACTGAGGAGTGAGATGCCCCTGTAGTTGTTACAGTCTGTGCGGTCCCCCTTCTTAAAGAGGGGGACCACCAGGGCATCCTTCCAATCCTGCGGAACCCGTCCAGTGGTCCAGACTGTTGTTATGATACCATGCAGAGCAGTCTGTGCACAAATGCCACCCTCCCTCAGCATTTCGCTTGGGAGATCATCTCTGCCCTGTGCCTTTCCTGGTCTCAGACTCTGGATCGCCTTCAGTACTTTCTCAACAGATGGCACCTCAGCCAGCCACTCACAGGGGGTGACTTCTTCTCATGTTTGAGGCACCGCAGCCTCAGCAGGGTCATCCTCACTTTGTGCTAGGATGTTTTCCTGGCTGAGGGATTTCCCCTCCTCCAGGACCTCACAGAAATGCTCAGCAAATCCACAAACCTGTTCCTGGGGGTCAGAGATTGGATCACCGTTTTTTCCCCTAATGATGGTAATAGGTGTGGCGCTGCAGGTTACTTTTTTGATGGCGTTAAATAGAGATTTGTGATCACGGGCCACTGAGGCAGACTCCATCTCTTCAGCAACCGGCGACCACCCCCCATCCTTGCAGCGCCTCACGGCTCTCCGAACCTCCGAGCGAAGGCTGCGGTAAGCCTCCTCATTCTCTGACGTGGGATTCTGTAGCCAATGACAGTGGGCCTGTCGCTTTTTCTCAACCATCCTGAACACCTCCTCTGTCAGCCAGGGTCTCTGGGGAGGTCTGGACCGCGTACCCAAAGCAGCCATTGCAGCTGCATGAGTCACAGTCCTAAACCTCGCCCATTTACCCTCGACATCAGGAGGAGTCGGGGACGATGCCAACCCCAGCCGCAAGCGATGATGAAATTCTCGCTTGCAACTTTCATCAGATAACTGAGACCAGGCCACTTTAGGTTGGAATGGGGTCCTGGGTGTACACCCACCATCGGAGTAGAAGAATGGCTGGCGCACCGTACTGATAACTAGTCGATGGTCAGAGGGCAGATCAGCTCCACGGTAGGTCCTGGTGTCAAGGACATGGGCTCACATCCGCTCGTCCATCACTATGTAGTCCAGCAGATGATCTTGCTTGGACATGATGTTGTGTGGATGCGCCGATGCCGGAACAGCGTGTTAGTAACTACAAGCCCATGGGTTGCACAAAAATCTAGCAGCCTCCTACCATTGTTATTGAGCTGATCTGGCCCATGCCCTCTAATCACTCAAGACCAGGTGCCAGCATCATGACCAACTCGGGCATTGAAGTCACCCAACAAGATGACTCTATCCCGAGGGGCCACTTTAGCCAGCACCTTTGACAGGTCATAGAAAGCATCTGACTCATTGGCTTTGCCTGCATCCCTCCACGGATGTTCGTCTTCGGTGGGGGCATAAGTAACCACGACCACCACTCCTCGCCTCTGGTTGATGGGAAGGCGAGCCCAAAGTAGCCTGGGGCTTACAGCTGCCCACACCTCACCGCCACGCTCCCACGTCCCCTTCACAAAAGTAGAGCCACACCCTGTTGTTTGGAAGTCTCCTGCCCCGAGCAGAGGACTGTCCACCCCTCATGGTGGCAGGAGCCAGAACCGGTCCACCGGACCTCCTGAATGCCACAGAGATCCAGGCGGTACCGGTCCAGCTCCTGACAGAGGAGTGGCAGCCTCTCCTCCGCAGTGAGCGTTCGAACATTCCACGTGTCCACACGAAGTGGCTTTTCGTTGTTTCTGGAGGAGCCCCGAGGGTAGATATTCAATCTCCTGGCTCCGCCAATTGGGGTTTGGCCAGGAGACGTCATAGACGCCTGTCCCCCCGGGGCCTCCGGCACAAGCTTATTAGTTACATATGTGCACACACACACAAAGATAAAAAACAAAGATCCCCCATATAGCCTGTAACAGACTGTAGGGGCAAGTGCTGTTAGCGAGCACGTATGAAGGCCAGAACGGTACACGAGGGGGTGGGTGGCCAGCACCACGCCCGACCGCCTTTGTCTCCCCAGTGGCAATGTTTACACACCGCACCAGGTACTCATTTGAGGCTGAGTCGACCTAGGGGAGGCCCGGGACCGGTTCAGATAATCGTCACTGGTGTTGGCCGTGAGCGGGAATCGAACCCGGGTCGCCAGGTTCATAGTGCAGCGCGCTAACCGCTACACACACACACACACGGACACAGACACGGTCACGCACACGGACGCACACGCACACGCACACACGCACACACGCACACACGCACACACGTAACATCGTCATTAACCACCTTCGACCCGCTGCCGGATCGACGCCTCCCCCACCTACCCCAACGCCCACCCCCCACCGGCCACCCCGGCAAAAACAACTCACAGGCCATGACGATCCTGTCAGGCACCCGCATGGCCAGCGCGCCGGGCAGCCCCGCGGGGTCCCCGTCGACCTCGGCGCCCCCGGCGATGACGTGCAGGCGCGCGGGCACCCTCATCCGCTGGTTCATCGCCTCGGCGAAGCCCAGCTCGTAGGACGGGGCCCAGGGCGCGCCGCCCCCGTCCGTGGGTTCTCCCCCCACACCGTAGAAGCGGCCCTGGCCGCCCCAGGCCGCTCCGCCGGCCCCTCGCGGCCCGCCGTGGTTGTCGCCGTGGTATTGGTAGTGGTGGTGGTGGTGGTGTTGGTGGTGGGCCGTCTCGCCCTCCGCCAAGCCCCAGGGGGCGTCGCTGGCCCCGCCCTCTCCGAGCGCGGCCCCGCCCTCTCCGAGCGCGGCCCCGCCCTCTCCGAGCGCGGCCCCGCCCTCTCCGAGCGCGGCCCCGCCCTCTCCGAGCGCGGCCCCGCCCTCCCCGAGCGCGGCCCCGCCCTCCCCGAGCGCGGCTACGCCCATACCGAGCGCGGCCCCGCCCTCTCTGAGCATGGCCCCGCCCTCTTTGAGCATGGCCTCGCCCATTCCGAGCACGGCCCCGCCATCTTTGGTGATCGCCCCTCCCCCTTTGAGGGTGGCCACGCCCTCCCCGAGGTCCGCTGCCCCGCCCACATCAACGAGGGCCTCTCCCCCGTTGATGGCGGCGGTGTCGGCAGCGCTCATCTGGGGGGGTCAAACGGCACGAGGTTCAACAAGAGAGGTCGTCCTCATGTGGGGGGTCAGACCGAGCGAAAATAAAAAAAGTGTCGCGTCGTTAAACTCGCCGCCGCCATCGCCGCCAACATCCGGCACGGCCGATTCGTAAAGGAATGAAACAGGAGGAGGATTTCTCCGTGAATCGGGCTGTCCGCCCAATGACACCGGTTGTAGTTACTGGCGAAACGTCACGGTACTCAGATTGTAAACGTTGTGGTGTAGTGCTGTACTAGTATACTACACTATAGACTACACTATACATTACACTATACACTACATTACTACTAGTGTATAGTGCTGTACTAGTATACTACACTATACACTACACTACTAGTGTATAGTGATGTACTAGTATACTACACTATAGACTACACTATACATTACACTATACACTACACTACTAGTGTATAGTGCTAGTGTATAGTGATGTACTAGTATACTACACTATACACTACACTACTAGTGTATAGTGTTGTACTAGTATACTACACTATAGACTACACTATACATTACACTATACACTACACTACTAGTGTATAGTGCTGTACTAGTATACTACACTATACACTACACTACTAGTGTATAGTGATGTACTAGTATACTACACTATAGACTACACTATACATTACACTATATACTACACTACTAGTGTATAGTGCTGTACTAGTATACTACACTATAGACTACACTATACATTACACTATACACTACACTACTAGTGTATAGTGCTGTACTAGTATACTACACTATACACTACACTACTAGTGTATAGTGATGTACTAGTATACTACACTATAGACTACACTATACATTACACTATACACTACACTACTAGTGTATAGTGCTGTACTAGTATACTACACTATACACTACACTACTAGTGTATAGTAATGTACTAGTATACTACACTATAGACTACACTATACATTACACTATACACTACACTACGAGTGTATAGTGCTGTACTAGCATACTACACTATACACTACACTACTAGTGTATAGTGATGTACTAGTATACTACACTATAGACTACACTATACATTACACTATATACTACACTACTAGTGTATAGTGCTGTACTAGTATACTACACTATACACTACACTACTAGTGTATAGTGATGTACTAGTATACTACACTATACACTACACTATACATTACACTATACGCTACACTACTAGTGTATAGTGCTGTACTAGTATACTACACTATACACTACACTACTAGTGTATAGTGATGTACTAGTATACTACACTATAGACTACACTATACATTACACTATATACTACACTACTAGTGTATAGTGCTGTACTAGTATACTACACTATACACTACACTACTAGTGTATAGTGATGTACTAGTATACTACACTATAGACTACACTATACATTACACTATATACTACACTACTAGTGTATAGTGCTGTACTAGTATACTACACTATACACTACACTACTAGTGTATAGTAATGTACTAGTATACTACACTATAGACTACACTATACATTACACTATACACTACACTACTAGTGTATAGTGCTGTACTAGTATACTACACTATACACTACTAGTGTATAGTGATGTACTAGTATACTACACTATAGACTACACTATACATTACACTATACACTACACTACTAGTGTATAGTGCTGTACTAGTATACTACACTATACACTACACTACTAGTGTATAGTGATGTACTAGTATACTACACTATAGACTACACTATACATTACACTATACACTACACTACTAGTGTATAGTGCTGTACTAGTATACTACACTATAGACTACACTATACACTATACTATACACTACACTATACACTACTATACACTGCACTACTATACACTGCACTACTATACACTACACTATACACTACACACTACTATACACTGCATTCCTATACACTACACTATACACTACACACTACTATACACTGCATTCCTATACACTACACTATACACTACTATACACTACACTATACACAACACTACTATACAATACACTATACACTACTATACACTGCACTACTATACACTACTATACACTGCACTACGACACACCTGTCAAACCCTTATCAGTGCCCTACCTTATCACAGACCAACTCGGACCTCACTGAACACCCCGTGCCCCCTTTAGAAATCTCAACGTTCATCCTACAAAGTCCCACCACAGGAGAGAAACACAAATAGACGATAACTGGGATCACTTGTGTCGCCCGTGTTCAAACGCATGGACCATGGTGTACAAGCAGCGTGGGTTATTTACAGGCTCTGTGGGCATGATAACACGAACACGCATGCCGACGTTTCGGCCACAACACAAAAGTGGCCTTCACCTGATGAAGGCCACTTGTGTCGTGGCCGAAACGTCGTGGCCCTCACCTGATGAAGGCCACTTGTGTCGTGGCCGAAACGTCGTAATTTTTTACCTACGTGACTTTACCGAATAGAACCAAAAGAGTATGTATGGATCCTTGCAGTCGCGAAAGATTCAAATCTAGAACACGAACACGGTTTTCATTCCTGAGCTACAGAGTGCTATTTTCTAATTGCGTATGCCTCTAAAGTATATAAAGTTGCTATTATTATTATTGTTATTATTCCCTCACAAACTTCGCTTCTGTGACCAGGACGTTTTTGTTTTTGTTTTTACCGTGAAGATACACAAATGCGCACCACGTTTTGTCATTGACGACAAGCACATCTCAAAAATATCGCTGCCTTGGTCACAAAAGCAACGTTTGTGTGTGGGTGGGGTGGGTGGAATTAATATGCGCAATTCTATACTTCTGAGGCATGGGCAATTTAAAAGGTAACACTTACTACCCTGGAGCAAAACATTGTCAATTGTTAAGCAGCGATTTAAATTAACCGCTCCCCGAGTGGAGCTGTCAACATCGCCGTTGGCGCGCCGCTGTTTAAAACGCGATCGCATGTTTGTTATTTGTTATCTCTAAGACTACCGGCGGTGTGTTTTGCATTTTGTTGCTTGTCAACTCGAGCCGAGGTGGTTAAGCTGTAAACATTTAACATCGCAAATCAAAAATCGCGAGCTGCGCGCTCGCGATTTTTCCCCGTAGAGCAGGCCGCAAGAAGCCTCGGCCTCGCCTAGCGAGCCTGCGGCCCGACCCCGCGTCCGCTCCGGCGGGGAGGGGGGGACGGACCCCTCTCGGGATAAATACATTTATTTTTTTGTGTGTGTGTGTGTGGTAACGATTTTTCTTGTTGCTCTGATCGATTTAGCTATTGTTAGCGATTAACTGACGACGCTTACTGTTGATCGATTCACCGTCGCCGAGACGAAGGCAGGGCCGGTGTTCGCGTCTTCACTCGGGACGCATCGACTGCAAAACAACACACAGCGGCGACGCGGAATGACGTCACGTCGGCGCGATGACGTCAGGGCGAGCGTTCCCGGGGCAAATTCAACGACAGCGCCTCCACCCCGGCTCTTCCCCCCCCCCCCAATTCGCCAAGGCGCGTGAAGACGTCATCTTGTTCACTCAATGACGTCATCGGGCTCAACTAATCGCGACACCGTGCTGGCGCGATGACGTAATTACGTTTCCCAGACCCGTCCACACGGTGTCTTTGCGTGGTGACGCCAAGACACCGGCGTAACGCGGTGACATCAAAACGAGGCAGCTCGGCGCGATGACGTCATCAAGCAACGTGCGTTGGTGCACGGTGCTTTTTTCAGGAATATTTTTATGGGTTTTTTTTTCCATGGATTTTCTGTTTGCACAGTCACAACACAAAGTCACTTTAAGTTTTTGATTTAAAGCTTTCGTGACTGCAGTCATTCATATTCTTAGTTTTTTCGGTAAAGTCACGTTGAAGGGAAACAACAAAATAATAAAATATATATAAAACAATAAAAAATTCCCACGACGTTTCGACCATAACTCAAACGGTCATCTTCAGGTGTGTTGGTTTGCATAAATTTATTTTTAAACGGCGCATTTATTTATCTGGTTCCGTCTGTAAAAGATGTGATTCCGGACATACAATACCCTGGTGTCTACAAACTAAGTTGCCTCTGTGGTAGTAGTTACATTGGAGAAACCAAACGCCATGTCTCGGACCGCATTCGTGAACACAAAGCAGACCTTAAACACGGTAGGACCAACACCTCGGCCGTGGCAGATCATTGTTCTAATTCAGTAGACTCGCATGACATTGACTTTTCCAAGACAGAGGTTCTTTGTAAGCCATCTGGCTACCATGAGAGATTCGTTCATGAGGCTATCCACATATACAAGCACAGAGACAATTTCAACCGAGAAGATGGATTCTATCTTAGCAATCATTGGAAAGATTTGATAAACCATTTCAGGTCTTAATTGATTGTTCACGCTTACAGTGGCTGTCAGACAGCATACATTATAAAAAATTTCGTCTCCCCCCTCCTCTTTTCAGAATATAGATGGACTAGTCCTGGGTAAACTGCCAAATCGCTGCGCGTGGCGCTAACGTTTTTATAAATAAATAAATAAATGCGCCGTTTAAAAATTAATTTATGCAAACCAACACACCTGAAGACGACCGTTTGAGTTATGGCCGAAACGTCGTGAGAATTTTTTATTGTTTTATATATATTTTATTATTTTGTTGTTTCCCTTCAACGTGGTGACTTTACCGAAAAAACTAAGAATATGAATCACTTTAAGAAGTTTTTCTTGTTCGTGTTTTTGTTTTGTTGTTTGTTGTGGTTGCACCCGATTCAAGAGCCGAATTGCTCACAGGGCTACGCCAAATAAATGAAACTGAAATGCAAAATGAAATGAAATGAAACGTCGCCACCAGGATTAACCCGATGGCGTCACCACGCAAACAAACGTGATGACGGTACCATGCATACGAACGTGGTGACGTCACCACGCAAATGAAGGTGGTGACGTCACCACCCAAAGGAAACGTGGTGACGTCACCACACAAACAAACGCGGTGACGCCACCAGGCAAAGGAACGCGGTGACGCCACCCACGCAAATGGCACGCGGTGACGTCACCACGGAAACGAACGCGGTGACATCACCCAAACGGAACGAGGTGACGTCACCACGCAAACAAACGCAGTGACGCCGCCACGCAAAACGGAACGTGGTGACGTCACAACGCAAACAAACGCGGTGACGCCACCAGCCAAAGGAGCGCGGTGACGCCACCCACGCAAAGCGAACCCGGTGACGCCGCCACTCAAACGAAACGTGGTGACGTCACCACGCAAACGAACGCGGTGACGCGGCCACTCAAACGATATGTGGTGACGTTACCACGCAAACAAACGCGGTGACGCCGCCACGCAAACGATACGTGCTGACGTCATCACGCAAACCAACGCGATGACGCCAACAACGCAAGCGAACGTAGTGACGTCACCACGCAAAAGAACGCGACGACGCCCCCACGCGAAGGGAACGTGCTGACGTCACCACGCAAACGACCGTGGTGACGTCATGGCTACAAGGCCCAATGCAGGCAGCGCCGCACGAGTGCACTGTACCAGGGTGGGTGACTCCAGCTCACTGTACACGCCTCACCGCTTTTTCTAAAGTTAGCGCTGACCCTTAGCGCTGACACTTAGCGCAACTCTCTCGTTACTGCGTTGTGGTCATTGTAATCATCATTGTGGCGGTGGCGCTGGTAAAGATTAACAAGGACTACTCTGGAGTTCTGCGCAGGTGAGAATCGGCCTCGCTCGAGTGAGTGGGGTGGGTGAGTGAGTGGGGTGAGTGAGTGAGTGGGGTGAGTGGAGTGGGGTGAGTAAGTGAGTGGGGTGAGTGAGTGGGGTGAGTGAGTGAGGTGAGCGACTGGGTGAGTGGGGTGGGGTGAGTGAGTGAGTGGAGTGGGGTGAGTGAGTGGGGGTGTGAGGTGGGGTGAGTGTGTGGAGTGGGGTGAGTGAGTTGGGTGAGTGGAGTGGGGTGAGTGAGTGGGGTGAGTGAGTGAGGTGAGCGACTGGGTGAGTGAGCGACTGAGTGAGCGATTGGGTGAGCGAATAGGTGAGTGAGTGATGGAGTTAGTGGGTGAGTGAGATCGCTGTGTAGTGAGTGAGCAAATGGGCGAGTGAGTGGATGAGTGCCCGAGCGAGTGAGCGAGTTGGTGAGTGGCTGGCTGGGTGTATGATGGGGTGAGTTAACTGATTGGGTGAGTAGTTGAATGACTGGGTGAGTGAGTGAGTGGCCGACTCAGCTGACTGTCACTCGTGTGCCCGCGTGTAAACAGGATACGGTGAGCGATGATGGATCCATTCCACGAATCTCTGGGTGATCGTGATCCCACCGGATCGACTCCCGATCCTGCTCCCAGTGTCTCCCACTCCACGCTCCAAGCATCGGAATCCATCCCGGGATTTCCACCTCATCCTGCTCCAAGTGTCTCCCACTCCACGCTCCAAGCATCGGAATCCATCCCGGAATTTCCACCTCATCCTGCTCCAAGTGCCTCCCAATCCACGCTCCAAGCATCGGAATCCATCCCGGGATTTCCACCTCATCCTGCTCCAAGTGTCTCCCACTCCACGCTCCAAGCATCGGAATCCATCCCGGGATTTCCACTTCATCCTGCTCCAAGTGTCTCCCACTCCACGCTCCAAGCATCGGAATCCATCCCGGGCTTTCCGCCTCCTCATCATCCTCCTCAGAACTCCGGGAATTCTGGAAACTCCATGTCTTCCGGACTTAAGATTCCAGATTATCCAAAGGGTCCAGGCCCTTCTGTGGGTGATGGACAGGAATCGGGGAATCCCGATATTGCCGATGAGAAAAGTGGTAATTCTGCCGAGATTCCAGAATCTGGGAATGTGGCACAGGGACTCCCATATTCCCATGATCGGGATTCTGAAACTTGTGAGAAAATGGATGTCAATAATTTAGAGTTTCAGGAATCTGGGAATGCTGTAGACCCAGGACAAAGCAATTCCAGTTATCAGGAATCTGGGAATTCTGAAGAACTGGGACATAGGAATTCTGGTTATCAGGAATCTGGGAATTCTGAAGATCTGGGACATAGGAATTCTGGTTATCAGGAATCTGGGAATTCTGAAGAACCGGGCGTTGAGAATCCCGGCAGTGGGAAATCTGGGAATGCTGAGGATCGGGAGTCTGGGAATGTGGAAGATCAAGGAAGCATGGAGGTTGGAGACTTCTAGTGAGAAGACGCACAGCACACACGGAGTCACGGAATGTCGTTCTGTGTCGTCCGGCATTGCTGCTGATGATGATGGTGGTAGCTGTGCTGATGATGATAGTGGTGGTAGCTGTGCTGATGATGATGGTAGCTGTGCTGATGATGATAGTGGTGGTAGCTGTGCTGATGATGATAGTGGTGGTAGCTGTGCTGATGATGATGATGATGGTAGCTGTGCTGATGATAGTGGTAGCTGTGCTGATGATGATGGTAGCTGTGCTGATGATGATGGTGGTGGTAGCTGTGCTGCTGCTGCTGATGATGGTAGCTGTGCTGCTGATGATGGTGGTGGTAGCTGTGCTGATGATGATGATGGTGGTAGCTGTGCTGTTGATGATGGTGGTAGCTGTGCTGTTGATGATGATGGTAGCTGTGCTGATGATGATGGTGGTAGCTGTACTGATGATGATAGTGGTGGTAGCTGTGCTGATGATGATGGTGGTAGCTGTGCTGATGATAGTGGTAGCTGTGCTGATGATGATAGTGGTGGTAGCTGTGCTGATGATGATGGTGGTGGTAGCTGTGCTGTTGATGATGGTGGTAGCTGTGCTGATGATGATAGTGGTGGTAGCTGTGCTGATGATGATAGTGGTGGTAGCTGTGCTGTTGATGATGGTGGTAGCTGTGCTGATGATGATGATGATGGTGGTAGCTGTGCTGATGATGATAGTGGTGGTAGCTGTGCTGATGATGATAGTGGTGGTAGCTGTGCTGATGATGATGATGGTAGCTGTGCTGATGATAGTGGTAGCTGTGCTGATGATGATGGTGGTGGTAGCTGTGCTGCTGCTGCTGATGATGGTAGCTGTGCTGCGTATGATGGTGGTGGTAGCTGTGCTGATGATGATGGTAGCTGTGCTGATGATGATGGTGGTGGTAGCTGTGCTGATGATGATGGTGGTGGTAGCTGTGCTGATGATGATGATGGTAGCTGTGCTGATGATAGTGGTAGCTGTGCTGATGATAGTGGTAGCTGTGCTGATGATAGTGGTAGCTGTGCTGATGATGATGGTGGTGGTAGCTGTGCTGATGATGATGGTAGCTGTGCTGATGATGATGGTGGTGATAGCTGTGCTGATGATGATGGTGGTGGTAGCTGTTTTGATGATGATGGTAGCTGTGCTGATGATGATGGTCGCTGTGCTGATGATGATGGTAGCTGTGCTGATGATGATGATGGTAGCTGTGCTGATGATGATGGTGGTGGTAGCTGTGCTGATGATGGTGGTGGTAGCTGTGCTGATGATGGTGGTAGCTGTGCTGATGATGATGGTAGCTGTGCTGATGATGATGGTGGTGGTAGCTGTGCTGATGATGATGATAGCTGTGCTGATGATGGTGGTAGCTGTGCTGATGATGATGGTAGCTGTGCTGCTGATGGTGGTAGCTGTGCTGCTGCTGATGATGGTAGCTGTGCTGAT